TACTATAGTATACAAAGAACCACATACCTATGGTTTAAGGGAATACTTACTATACTATAGTCTACATGGAACTACATACCCATGGTTTAAGGGAATACTGAGTATACTATATTATACCAAGAACTGCATACCTTGTGTTTAAGGGAATACTGATTATACTATAGTATACTAAGAACCACATACCTAGGTTTTAAGAGAATACAGACTGTACTATAGTATACAAAGAACGACATACCTAGGGTTTAAGGGAATACTGAGTATACTATAGTATACAAGGTACTACATACCTAGGGTTTAAGGGAATACTGACTATACTATAGTATACAGGGAACTACATACGTAGGGTTTAAGGGAATACTAACTATAATATAGGATACAAGGAACTATATAGCTAGGGTTTAAGAGAATACTGACTATAGTATAGTGTACAAGGAACTACATATCTAGGGTTTAATAGAATACTGACTGTACTATAGTATACAAGGAACTATATACCTAGGGTTTAAGGGAATACTTTGTATACTATAGTATACAAGGAACTACATACCTAGGGTTTAAGAGAAAGCTGACTATACCATAGTATACCAGGAACTACATGCCTAGGGTTTAAGAGAATACTGACCATACTATAGTGTACATGGAACTACATGCCTAAGGTTTAAGGGAATACTGAGTATACTATAGTACATAAAGAACCGCATACCAAGGGTTTAAGAGAATACTGATTATACTATAGTATACAAAGAACCACATACCTATGGTTTAAGGGAATACTTACTATACTATAGTATACATGGAACTACATACCCATGGTTTAAGGGAATACTGAGTATACTATATTATACCAAGAACTACATACCTTGTGTTTAAGGGAATACTGATTATACTATAGTATACTAAGAACCACATACCTAGGGTTTAAGAGAATACTGACTGTACTATAGTATACAAAGAACTACATACCTAGGGTTTAAGGGGAATACTGAGTATACTATAGTATACAAGGTACTACATACCTAGGGTTTAAGGGAATACTGACTATACTATAGTATACAGGGAACTACATACGGAGGGTTTAAGGGAATACTAACTATACTATAGGATACAAGGAACTATATAGCTAGGGTTTAAGAGAATACTGACTATAGTATAGTATACAAGGAACTACATATCTAGGGTTTCATAGAATACTGACTGTACTATAGTATACAAGGAACTATATACCTAGGGTTTAAGGGAATACTGACTATACTATAGTATACAGGGAACTACATACGTAGGGTTTAAGGGAATACTAACTATACTATAGGATACAAGGAACTATATAGCTAGGGTTTAAGAGAATACTGACTATAGTATAGTATACAAGGAACTACATATCTAGGGTTTAATAGAATACTGACTGTACTATAGTATACAAGGAACTATATACCTAGGGTTTAAGGGAATACTTTGTATACTATAGTATACAAGGAACTAAATACCTAGGGTTTAAGAGAATGCTGACTATACTATAGTATACCAAAAAGTACATACCTAGGGTTTAAGGGAATACTGGGTATACTATAGTATACAAAGAACTACATACCTAGGGTTTAAGGGAATACTGAGTATACTATAGTATTTAGAGAACTACATACCTAGGGTGTAAGGGAATACTGACTATACTATAGTATAAATGGAACTACATACCTAGGGTTTAAGGGAATACTGAGTATACTATAGTATACAAGGAACTACATACCTAGGGTGTAAGGGAATACTGACTATACTATAGTATACATGGTACTACATACCTAGGGTGTAAGGGAATACTGACTGTACTATAGTATACAAGGAACTACATACCTAGGGTTTATGGGAATACTGAGTATACTATGGTATATAAAGATCCACATACCTAGGGTTTAAGATAATACTGAGTATACTATAGTATACATGGAACTACATACCTAGGGTTAAAGAGAATACTGAGTATACTATAGTATACATGGAACTACATACCCATGGTTTAAGGGAATACTGAGTATACTATAGCATACAAAGAACTACATACCTAGTGTTTAAGGGAATACTGAGTATACTATAGTATACATGGAACTACATACCTAGGGTTTAAGAGAATACTGACTGTAGTATAGTATAAATGGAACTACATACCCATGGTTTAAGGGAATACTGAGTATACTATAGTATACAAAGAGCTACATACCTAGGGTTTAAGGGAATACTGAGTATACTATAGTATACAAGGAACTACATACCTAGGGTGTAAGGGAATACTGACTATACTATAGTATACATGGTACTACATACCTAGGGTGTAAGGGAATACTGACTGTACTATAGTATACAAGAAACTACCTACCTAGGGTTTAAGGGAATACTGAGTATACTATAGTATACAAGGAACTACAAACCTAAGGTTTAAGGGAATACTGAGTATACTATATTACACAAGGTACTGCATACCTAGGGCTTAAGTAAATACTGACTATACCATAGTATACCAGGAACTACATGCCTAGGGTTTAAGGGAATACTGACTATACTATAGTATACATGGAACTACATGCCTAAGGTTTAAGGGAATACTGAGTATACTATAGTACATAAAGAACCGCATACCAAGGGTTTAAGAGAATACTGATTATACTATAGTATACAAAGAACCACATACCTATGGTTTAAGGGAATACTTACTATACTATAGTACACATGGAACTACATACCCATGGTTTAAGGGAATGCTGAGTATACTATATTATACCAAGAACTACATACATTGTGTTTAAGGGAATACTGATTATACTATAGTATACTAAGAACCACATACCTAGGGTTTAAGAGAATACTGACTGTACTATAGTATACAAAGAACTACATACCTAGGGTTTAAGGGAATACTGAGTATACTATAGTATACAAGGTACTACATACCTAGGGTTTAAGGGAATACTGACTATACTATAGTATACAGGGAACTACATACGTAGGGTTTAAGGGAATACTAACTATACTATAGGATACAAGGAACTATATAGCTAGGGTTTAAGAGAATACTGACTATAGTATAGTATACAAGGAACTACATATCTAGGGTTTAATAGAATACTGACTGTACTATAGTATACAAGGAACTATATACCTAGGGTTTAAGGGAATACTGACTATACTATAGTATAAATGGAACTACATACCTAGGGTTTAAGGGAATACAGATTATACTATAGTATACCAAGAACTACATGCCTAGGGTTTAAGGGAATACTGAGTATACTATAGTATATAAAGTACCGCATACCTAGGGTTTAAGAGAATACTGATTATACTCTAGTCTACAAAGAACCAGATACCTATGGTTAAAGAGAATACTGACTATGCTATAGTTTACATGGAACTACATACCCATGGTTTAAGGGAATACTGACTATACTATAGTCTACATGGAACTACATACCCATGGTTTAAGGGAATACTGAGTATACTATAGTATACAAGGAACTACATACCTAGGGTTTATGGGAATACTGAGTATACTATGGTATATAAAGATCCACATACCTATGGTTTAAGAGAATACTGAGTATACTATAGTATACATGGAACTACATACCTTGGGTTAAAGAGAATACTGAGTATACTATAGTATACATGGAACTACATACCCATGGTTTAAGGGAATACTGAGTATACTATAGTATACAAAGAACTACATACCTAGTGTTTAAGGGAATACTGAGTATACTATAGTATACATGGAACTACATACCTAGGGTTTAAGAGAATACTGACTGTAGTATAGTATACATGGAACTACATACCCATGGTTTAAGGGAATACTGAGTATACTATAGTATACAAAGAGCTACATACCTAGGGTTTAAGGGAATACTGAGTATACTATAGTATACATGGGACTACATACCTAGGGTTTAAGAGAATACTGACTAAACTATAGTATACATGGAACTACATACCCATGGTTTAAGGGAATACTGACTATACTATAGTATACAAAGAGCTACATACCTAGTGTTTAATGTAATACTGAGTATACTATGGTATACAAAGAACTACATACCTAGGGTTTAAGAGAATACTGACTATACTATAGTATACAAAGAACTACATACCTAGGTTTAATGGAATACTGAGTTGTCAAGTGATGAAGTATGGCTGCTGGTGACTGTAAATCCATGATCACAATAATGTATGGTGACAGTATTAACTTCGATACACAGACTTGAACATTTAGCATTACAACTATGTCTATTAGCGAAAAAGGGACATGTGTTTAACAGGGAATTCAGTATTGACGACCGACTGAATATATATTCATCACATTTTGCCCGTTGTCTCAAAAGTTTAGGGCGCTCGGGTAGCCTTAAAGCATCCGCTCGTCACGCTGAAGACCCGGGTTCGATTCCCACCATAGATACAATGTCTGAAGCCTAATACCGGTGTCCCCCGCGGTGATATTGCTGGAATATTGCTAAAACCATACTCAATCAAAATTTTAATAATCCATGTTCATTGACAGCAACAACGTTTCACATGTGTTTACTGTAAGCATTGTCAGGGACGCTGACGCTGAGATAGATATAACAGTAAACTGAACACGAACGTTGATAGCCAGACAAGGAGATAATATTCAACAACTGCGTTTGCGCTGCTTTGTCAGACTGAATGCTCCAGTGACTCATGCAGTTAATTTGTCACAACTATTTTACATAAATATAACGGTTATTCTCTGGGTAGACAGTATGTTTTTCCGTCCGTTGTTGTCTGACTGTTACCTTGTGACGGCATGTTGCAACAGCTCATTCACTATTGTGTAATTCCATCAATACATTTGTTTACTGTTTACGTGGAGTAGGCTCACCTTCTGACTGCCGTATTGAAACACGCACACATATTCAGATAGCAGGCGACGTACTATTTATGCCAGTTCTTTTATTAACGGATTTGTATAAGACCTCTGCGGACAACATACCGTGACTCACATACCCTCTCACTGGTGAATCTACAGGACCACCTCCCAAATCCACTGATCAACGCATCTGCTTAAGAATGGGGTTCTTCTCAAGTGCCGGAAAATGTCTGCTTATTTTACTGAATATCTGCGTCACGGTATGTTTTTGCAACCACCTCTTACTTCATGTTTATTGAATATATATCCTTTACCACATATCACTATCACGCTTGTAGTGTCATCATTACATGGGCTTCCAATGAAGTTCCGGCTAAACCTAAATCGTCTTTGCGTTGTGTACAAATGTTTACAGAATCAAATTCCTCTGAACTTCTCACTGTGTACTCCCCCACCAGGATTGTCAGATCTCAAGACCAATATCTCCTCCCATCCCAAAGTTCTCCTTACTTCCTTTGGCAAGAGGTCTTTCCAGTACGCTGGTCCTACTTTGTGGAATTCTCTCCCTCTCCACATAAAGCAATCTCCCACACTAGAACTTTATTAGTGATAATAATATTTGTTTCATATGGAAGAATTATATGTAAGATGTTAACGAAGAATTGTGATTTTGTAAACGTTGATTTGTATAGTATTTAGCTCATACGTGATTTGTATCCCAGGTTTAGTTAACTCGTCAAGCCTAATGCTCGGACTTGATTCCTTTCACTCACTCACTCACTCACTCACTCACTCACTCACTCACTCACTCTCACTCTCACTCTCACTCTCACTCTCACTCTCACTCTCACTCTCACTCTCACTCTCACTCACTCTCACTCACTCACTCACTCACTCACTCAATTTCGGGCATCCTAGTTGATGAAGCGTTCGCTCGTCACGCCAAAGATTACCACACGGGTACAATGTATGAAGCCCATTTATGGTGTTTCCACAGTAAAATTGCTGCATTTTTGCTGAAATCGACGTAAAACTTAACTTACTTAGTTATTCAAACTTTATACACTCACTAGCTCTCACTAGCGAGTCAACCAGCTCTTATTTACCATTTGAGGGAGATTAGATTCGGGGTCCTTGTAGCAGGTGTTGATTGGTTGTTAAATGTTGACGATTTTTCACCAGACACATTGACAGTCTGTGGCTTTGAATTACACACCACAAACTTCAAATTGCAAACTATTTGTGCAAACATAGAAGCAACTGAGATGATACAGGTCTGGGGATATACAGTGAGACGATACATACGAACCAGTCAGAGGTACACTTGAATTACTTAAAGCCTCTGAAAGAGATGAGAAGTACCACCCAGAGCTCATAGGAAATTCTATTACATACTTTATGCGGCAGGAAAATAAAATATAACCCCATAGAACCACGAAGGAAGGGCTTATGTTCGAATTAAATGTGTGCTTACAAATAACACCGGGAGTGAACCATTCAGCTTCTATTCACAAACCATGAAGCGTGACGGTTTAACGGTACCCAGTAGCTATAAATAGAGCTGTTTATTGCCACGGTCGTGCGTCAACACTTCAGCGTATTCAGTATTGTGTGTCATAAAATACACCAAACACACACACCAAGGCTTATATTCATAGAAGAAACCTGTTTACTATGTGTTATGTCCTGGTGCATACTTGTTGTTGAATTTATGGCCATTGAGAGAACAGGAAGCGCATAAAACATTGAGCTTGAGCGTGAATGAGTGTATTTGGTTTATCTCCGCTTTAAACAGTTCACCTGTAATACAACCGTATGCCATTTTAAGATGAGCGGACACCAAAATGTTTTAGATGTCATATATATTGTCAATAGTGCTGGTAGTAATTGTACTTTTACACATAGCTGTAGTTAAATAAAAGAAATTGAATTGAAATAGTAGTAGTAGAAAGAATACTGCCACCTACTGCTACTACTACTACTACTACTACTACTACTACTACTACTACTACTACTACTACTACTACTACTACTACTGACCCGTGAAGGTCCTGGTTAGAATATTGAGACGACTAACGGGATCGGGTGGTCAGGATCGCTGACTTGGTTGACACATGTAATCGGTTCCCAGTTGCGCAGATCGATGTTCAAGCTGTTGATCACTGGATTGTGTGTTCCAGACTTGATAATTTACAGACCGCCGCCATATAGCTGGAATGTTGCTGAGTGCAGCGTAAAACTAAACTCGCTCGCTCACTCACTACTACTACTTCTACCACTATTACTACTACCACTATTACTACTACTATTACTACTACTACTACTACTACTACTACTACTATAACTACTTCTACTACTACTACTACTACTACTACTAGTACTACTACTACTACTACTACCACTATTACTATTACTACTACTACTACTACTACCCTCACCACCACTACTACTACCACCATCACTACAACTACAACTACTAAAGCTTCCACATCTACTTCTAGTACACTGTACTACTATTACTAGGACTTCTACTACTACTGCTGCTGTTACTACTACTATCACCACTACTACTACTACTACTGCTGCTGTTACTACTACTATCACCACTACTACTACTACTACTGCTGCTGTTACTACTACTATCACCACTACTACTACTACAACTACTACTGCTGCTGTTACTACTACTATCACCACTACTACTACTACTACTGCTGCTGTTACTACTACTATCACCACTACTACTACTACAACTACTACTGCTGCTGTTACTACTACTATCACCACTCCTACAACTACTACTGCTGCTGTTACTACTACTATCACCACTACTACTCCTACAACTACTACTGCTGCTGTTACTACTACTATCACCACTACTACTACTACAACTACTACTGCTGCTGTTACTACTACTATCACCACTACTACTACTACTACTATCACCACTACTTCTACTACTACTATCACCACTACTACTACTACAACTTCTACTGCTGCTGTTACTCCTACTATCACCACTACTTCTACTACAACTATCACCACTACTACTACAACTACTATCACCACTACTACTACTACAACTACTACTGCTGCTGTTACTACTACTATCACCACTACTTCTACTACTACTATCACCACTACTTCTACTACTACTATCACCACTACTACTACTACAACTACTACTGCTGCTGTTACTACTTCTATCACCACTACTTCTACTACTACTATCACCACTACTTCTACTACTACTATCACCACTACTACTACTACAACTACTACTGCTGCTGTTACTACTTCTATCACCACTACTTCTACTACTACTATCACCACTACTTCTACTACTACTATCACCACTACTACTACTACAACTATTACTGCTGCTGTTACTACTACTATCACCACTACTACTACTACTACTATCACCACTACTTCTACTACTACCATCACCACTACTACTACTACAACTACTACTGCTGCTGTTACTACTTCTATCACCACTACTTCTACTACTACTATCACCACTACTACTACTACAACTATTACTGCTGCTGTTACTACTACTATCACTACTACTACTACTACTACTATCACCACTACTTCTACTACTACCATCACCACTACTACTACTACTATCACCACTACTACTACTACAACTACTACTGCTGCTGTTACTACTACTATCACCACTACTTCTACTACTACTATCACCACTACTTCTACTACTACTATCACCACTACTACTACTACAACTACTACTGCTGCTGCTGCTACTACTACTATCACCACTACAACTACTACTACTACTACTTCCATCACCACTACTACTACTACTACTACTAATGACGTCAGTGATGGTTCTTGGACTCATCCTGCTGATTCTTAGTGACTTCATAATTCTAAAATCAATGTGGTCGTTGTTGTTACAGATTGTTGCCCTTAATCTGCTGGTATTCGGGGCGATCCTAAAGTTTAACCCTGGCTTGCTGCTGCAATATGTGTTGCCGGCTGTACAATCTGTCACCGCCTTCAATACCTCCACAAACTTCAGCACCGTGCCAGTCATCAGCAACATCGGCCTGGCTCTCCTTGTCCTCGGCGCTGTCCTGTTCGTCATCTCCTTCTTCGGCTGCTATGGCGCATGTTGCACCAACAGGATTTTCCTCATCATCGTAAGACTATTTTAGTAGAAGCCTGGGATTTACAACAGATGCCCCTGAAACATTCACAGAATACATTTATGGAAGAGATTGTTTTCTATAAAATGTACATTGTTGCAAGGAGATCAAAACCCGATCCCGTTTGTCGCCTCTTACGACAAGCATGGGTTACTGAAGATCAATATTCTAACCCGAACCTTCACGGATAGAAGACAAAAAGTAACATGTTATCGTGTGATCAACAGATTCTGAGTTCAACTTTGCAGCATACAAACACAGAAAACTAAACTGTAAAATTCCAATCCTTGAAAAAATGAATGCTCAAATTGTTAAGCCTAATTTTACCGCAAAAATCGATAAGAAATTTGAACGTTGTCGTAAGTGAGTATGTGAGATGTTTGGTTTGTTCTCTGTTTGACAGTTCTGTATCCTGATGATCATCATGTGTATTGTCGTTGCTGCACTGGCTGGAGTCCTCTTTGTCAGAGATTCGCCCGTAAGTAACAGAGTGATGTACCCATAGTAGCAAGGCTCGTCCGTAAGTAATAGGCTGATGTACCCACAGTATCAAGACTCGCCCGTAAGTAATAGAGTGATGTACCCATAGTAGCAAGACTCGTCCGTAAGTAACAGAGTGATGTACCCATAGTAGCAAGACTCGCCCGTAAGTAATAGAGTGATGTGCCCACAGTAGCAAGATTTGGTCGTAAGTAATAGAGTGATGTACCAATAGTAGCAAGACTCGCCCGTAAATAATAGAGTGATGTAACCATAGTAGCAAGACTCGCCCGTAAGTAATAGAGTGATGTACCCACAGTAGCAAGACTCGTCCGTAAGTAATAGAGTGATGTACCCACAGTAGCAAGACTCGTCCGTAAGTAATAGAGTGATGTAACCATAGTAGCAAGACTCGCCCGTAAGTAATAGAGTGATGTACCCATAGTAGCAAGACCCCCGTAAGTAATAGAGAGATTTACCCATAGTAGCAAGACTTGCCCGTAAGTAATAGAGTGATGTACCCACAGTAGCAAGACTCGTCCGTAAGTAATAGAGTGATGTGCCCACAGTAGCAAGACTCGCCCGTAAGTAATAGAGTGATGTACCCATAGTAGCAAGACTCGCCCGTAAGTAATAGAGTGATGTACCCATAGTAGCAAGACTCGCCCGTAAGTAATAGAGTGATGTACCCACAGTAGCAAGACTCGTCCGTAAGTAATAGAGTGATGTACCTACAGTAGCAAGACTTGCCCGTAAGTAATAGAGTGATGTACCAATAGTAGCAAGACTCGTCCGTAAGTAATAGAGTGATGTACCCACAGTAGCAAGATTCGTCCGTAAGTAATAGAGTGACCTACCCATAGTAGCAAGACTTGCCCGTAAGTAATAGAGAGATGTACCCATAGTAGCAAGACTCGCCCGTAAGTAATAGAGTGATGTACCCATAGTTGCAAGACTCGCCCGTAAGTAATAGAGTGATGTACCTACAGTAGCAAGACTCGCCCGTAAGTAATAGAGTGATGTACCAATAGTAGCAAGACTCGTCCGTAAGTAATAGAGTGATGTACCCACAGTAGCAAGACTCGTCCGTAAGTAATAGAGTGATGTACCCACAGTAGCAAGACTCGTCCGTAAGTAACAGAGAGATGTTCCCATAGTAGCAAGACTTGCCCGTAAGTAATAAAGTGATGTACCCACAGTAACAAGACTCGCCCGTAAGTAATAGAGTGATGTACCCACAGTAGCAAGACTCGTCCGTAAGTAATAGAGTGATGTAACCATAGTAGCAAGACTCGCCCGTAAGTAATAGAGTGATGTACCCATAGTAGCAAGACTCGCCCGTAAGTAATAGAGTGACCTACCCACAGTAGCAAGACTCGCCCGTAAGTAATAGAGAGATGTTCCCATAGTAGCAAGACTCGCCCGTAAGTAATAGAGTGATGTACCCATAGTAGCAAGACTTGCCCGTAAGTAATAGAGTGATGTACCCACAGTAGCAAGACTCGTCCGTAAGTAATAGAGTGATGTACCCATAGTAGCAAGACTCGCCCGTAAGTAATAGAGTGATGTACCCATAGTAGCAAGACTCGTCCGTAAGTAATAGAGTGATGTGCCCATAGTAGCAATACTCGCCCGTAAGTAATAGAGTGATGTGCCCATAGTAGCAAGACTCGCCCGTTAGTAATAGAGTGATGTACCCACAGTAGCAAGAGTCGCCCGTAAGTAATATAAGTTGATTCTCTGGAGGGTAATACGGTCTGATGTATGCCTCTTTGTAACCGTGTCACCCGAGCCGGTAGGCGAGGGATGAGGTAAGATAAATACACTTCTACAAAGAGGCGTACATCAGACCGTTTTACCCGAGGGAGACGCATACAACGTATTTATCTGACCGCCATGTTAAATGTACAACAATGTTTTTTAAAGATCGCTATCGACTATATGACATGTAAACAAAATAGCGACTGCCCCTCGACTGAATTTTAATCAGTGAAACATATTCTGATTAGGTTAACATTGCTATACAAATGGCGATTATGTTTAAGTTGAGTGTACAAACGATTCAATGTATAAAATAGTTTAAATAAAGCAGTGAAAGTCTGTAAAATGAATCTTTACATAGTGAACTCAAAAACAGCTAATCGAACGGTTTTAGAACTCCGAACACTGTATGCGTCATATTATGACGTCATACGATTGTTAGCGATACAGCTTTTCGGCGGAGAGTTTGGCGGTTACCGTGGCGGCGGGTAATATTTTTTCCAGTTGTCACCCTCCTGGGACCAATGGTCAAAAGTTTCCAGACGTATGCAAATCAGCAATGCCAAGTGGTATCATCACCTCTTAACAGTAATACACTTACTTATTGTCTGGTGGACCAGTCAGCTGTGTGTGGGTCAGATTTTATCATTATAACGAAAGGATGTTGCCACATATATTTAGACTGCTGAGCCACATATGCCCCTGTATCAAGAAGAGAACGACAATCGTTTGAGACTTTACAGGGAAAGTTCTGTCGACAGGTAAATGGTTAACTTCAAATGGACTTCATGAATCTAATCACAATACAACTGTCGTTCTGTGTTCCTATATTGACAATGCCTTTCCCAGTCTGTTTGGAAAATTCTCACCAGCGGGCAATCATATCCCCCCAAAAAAAATTCGAGCCAACGATCATAAATTCCTGGAACACCTAAGGCGCGCAACTCTGCACACCTCCTTAGATGACTTAGATCACCTGTGCCCTGCAAGTAATGTATGAGCCAGGGGCGAGAACCATGTCTTCTTTATGGTCGTTAGCGCGTATATAACTGTTTAACTGCTTTCAATGTTCTACATGTGGATTATATCTGTCTATGACGCCAGACATTCTAATATTGCAGCTCAACACCGAAGGGAAGAAAGCGTTGCAGACACAAATCTACAATGACTACAAAGGACCACTCAGTGACGATACCTTCTCAGTCATGATGGATTTAGCAGCATTCTCTGTGAGTCGAACACCATTGCCGTACTATATTCTTGATGATCTGTTTCATCATTCAATGCTAAGTGAGGATATTGTAGCAGAAGCAGAGTATAGAGAACTAACTCGTCCCCATAATTCTTATTAAGGATTTTTTGTAAGAGTATTGGTCCTCAACAAACAATGTAAGGCAACAAATTAATCAGATTCTTCCACAATTTTAGTGACCCGTGAAGGTCCGGGTTAGAATGTTGGCCTTCAGTAACCCATGCTTGTCGTAAGAGGCGACTAACGGGATCGGGTGGTCAGGTTCGCTGACTTGGTTGACACAAGTCATCAGTTCCCAATTGCGCAAATCGATGTTCATGCTGTTGATCACTGGATTGTCTGGTCCAGAATAGATTATTTACAGACCGCCGCCATATAGCTGGAATATTGCTGAGTGCGGCGTAAAACTAAACTCACTCACTCACTCACAATTTTAGTTATGCTTGGTTGTTGCGTAGAGGGGTGCTGATGATGTCTGTCAACGGACTGTCTGGTCCAGGCTTGCATATTTAAATAGAGCCGAGTTGCAGCTGTAATATCGCTGAGTCAGACATGAGATGACAAACCATTAAAGACACAAGGGTAAAGCATCGCTCTTATCCTGAGCCATTTTGTCATTAACATTTACTGCTGGAAATGCTCTGATTTCCAATGGTTTGAGTTAATAAAAAAGGACGAGATGAGCCATCACCTGATCAACTTGAGCTTAGTTAATGGTGTCTTTCCAGAGGTGTTCAAGCAAGCTGTGGTAAAGCCATTACTTAAGAAAGACAATTTGGATATCAGTACTCTCAAGAATTACAGACCTGTCTCCAACCTTTCTTTCCTTTCAAAGATCCTTGAACGTGCAGTTGATGTCAGACTCAGATCCTATCTCTCTTCAAATGATTTTCTGAACAGATTCCAATCAGCCTATCGTCCTAGGCACAGTACCGAGACCGCCTTACTTCAAATTCTGAATAACCTGAGATGCCATGCGGATTTGGGTAATGTGTCACTTCTCCTCTTGCTTGATCTCTCAGCGGCGTTCGACACGGTCAACCATCAGAAGCTCCTTAGCCGTCTTCAGGATGACTATAACATACAAGGGGATGCATTGGCCTGGTTCTGTTCCTATCTGAGCATGAGGAGTCAGTCAGTTCTTGTCTCTGAAAGCATCTCTGAGTCAACGATCCTAGAGTGTGGTGTACCCCAGGCCTCAGTCCTTGGGCCGCTTCTCTTTGTGTTATACACAAACCCTTTGGAGAAGGTCATTGATAACTTTGATCTGAATCACCACGCATTTGCAGACGACCTCCAATTGATGGATTCCTTCAAACCAGAGGATGTACAAATAGCCAGATCTAGTGTGAGTCAGTGCACGAAGGCAATTAGTTCATGGATGATGACAAATGAGCTGAAGCTAAATGATGATAAGACTGAGGCTATGTTGATTGGCACATCGCAGTATCTGAAAAGGATAAACTCTACGGACATCACAGTAGCCAACTCAGATATCCCACTTTCATCCAGTGTAAAAAACCTAGGTGTTCATCTTGATCCTTGTCTCACCATGGAGCAACATGTGAACCATCTCTGTAGAGTAGGCTACTTCCATCTCCACTCTATTGGTAACATCCGCCATCTTGTAACCACAGATGCTGCTAAAGTTCTCACTCAGTCACTTGTTCTCTCCAGGATTGACTATTGCAATAGCCTACTGTTTGGAATCTCCAATGATCTTCTCTTCAGACTTCAAAAACCTCAGAATGCTGCCGCCAGAGTTGTCACTAAAACATCCAAATGGACTCACATAACCCCAATCCTCCAGAGTCTGCATTGGCTGCCGGTTGAAGCAAGAATTCATTTCAAGATCTGCACTCTTGTTTTCCGCTGCAAACACGGCCTAGCTCCTCCATACCTCTCTGAGATGTTGTCAACATATATGCCTGCCCGTTTTCTTCGCTCTCAGAATCAACATCTTCTCTCAGTTCCCCAAGTTCGTCTCAAACACTTTGGCCATAGGTCATTCATATTTGCAGCACCAACCCTATGGAACAGTCTTCCTACTCCCATAAAAACTGCTTCATCCCTAGAAGCATTCAAATCGGGACTCAAAACCTTCCTCTTCAAAAAAGTCTACAACCTATAACTGCAAAATATTCTCACGGTTATTTTTGGCTAATTGTCATATCTTCCTCTTGAACTCTGGTGACTCTTTTTATATGTAGCGCTTTGAGCATGCTCTGGATGGACTATGGCGCATAAGAAATATCCATTTATTATTATTATTATTATTATCACCTGCAAATTTAGCCAACATCAAAGGACTCGTTCAGTTTGGCCCATTCATGTTCAGTATCAATTAAAACCCTCTGAAACAGTCATGGCGGGTTCACCAGCACATTTCAAGGCAAAGTCAAGGCATTTTTTTCGGATTGTGTGTGTGTTTACATTTATATATTTTTCATTTTACGATTAACAAATGTATTTCTGGAAACTGGCCATGGATGACCTTATGCTGAAATGTTAAACACCAATAATGAATGAAAGTAATAGAAGTCGTTGTTATGTTTCAGCTCCAGTGCTGTGCCGCCACTGGGCCTACTGACTTTAACCCAAGTGCCTCCTGGAGGGCCTATAGCAAGGGCAGTATTACAGAAACGATCGATGCATCGCCTTCCTGCTGTAAGAAGGGTGTTTTGGACAGCGACACATCTCTCGAGTGCGCGAAGAAACAAGTGGGAGTTTTCGATCCGACCAGGACTAATACTCAGGTAAATTTGACTAAATGTTGGACTTTATTTTTGTAGTCGAAACATAATCGAATCCTAAGAGGAAACAAAGCATATCAGTTGTGTGGCATATGGAAGCGAAAGGCTTCCATTTCATATGTCAATTCTGCATAATATAGAATGGAAAATATAACGACACCATACCTTAGCTACATAACTCCAGCTCCTCCTGCAGAGTCTGCCCCAGTCCAGTTAAATAGAGTTAGCTATCTCCCCCTGTAGCGTCTGTCCCGGTCCAGGTAACTAGAGTTAGCTATTTCCCCCTGTAGCGCCTGCACCAGTCCAGCTAACTAGAGTTAGCCATCTCCTCCTGAAGCGCCCGCCCCAATCCAGCTAACTAGAGTTAGCCATCTCCTCCTGAAGCGCCCGCCCCAGTTCGGCTAACTAAAGTAAGCTATCTCCTCCTGCAGCGCCTACCCCAGTCCGGCTAACTAGAGTAAGCTATCTCCTCCTGCAGCGCCTGTCCCAGTCCGGCTAATTAGAGTTAGCTATCTTCTCCTGTAGCGCCTGACCAAATCCAGCTAACTAGAGTTAGCTATTTCTTCCTGCAGCGTCTGTCCCAGTCCAGCTAAATAGAGTTAGCTATCTCCTCCTGAAGCGCCCGCCCCAGTCCGGCTAACTAGAGTAAGCTATCTCCTCCTGTAGTGCCTGTACCAGTCCGGCTAATTAGAGTTAGCTATCTCCTCCTGTAGCGTCTGCTCCAGTCCTGCTAATTAGAGTTAGCTATCTCCTCCTGTAGCGCCTGCCCCAGTCCGGCTAACTAGAGTTAGCTATCTTCTCCTGTAGCGCCTGCCCCAGTCCGACTAACTAGAATTAGCGATTTCCTCCTGTAGCGCCTGCCCCAGTCCGGCTAATTAGAGTTAGCTATCTCCTCCTGTAGCGTCTGCTCCAGTCCGGCTAACTAGAGTTAGCTATCTTCTCCTGTAGCGCCTGCCCCAGTCCGACTAACTAGAATTAGCGATTTCCTCCTGTAGCGCCTGCCCCAGTCCGGCTAATTAGAGTTAGCTATCTCCTCCTGTAGCGTCTGCTCCAGTCCGGCTAACTAGAGTTAGCTATCTTCTCCTGTAGCGCCTGCCCCAGTCCGACTAACTAGAATTAGCGATTTCCTCCTGTAGCGCCTGCCCCAGTCCGGCTAATTAGAGTTAGCTATCTCCTCCTGTAGCGTCTGCTCCAGTCCGGCGAACTAGAGTTAGCTATCTTCTCCTGTAGTGCCTGTCCCAGTCCGGCTAAATAGAGTAAGCTATCTCCTCTTGTAGCGTCTGCTCCAGTCCGGCTAACTAGAGTTAGCTATCTTCTCCTGTAGCGCCTGTACCAGTCCGGCTAAATAGAGTTAGCTATCTTCTCCTGTAGTGCCTGTACCAGTCCGACTAACTAGAGTTAGCTATCTCCTCCTGTAGCGCCTGCCCCAGTCCGACTAACTAGAGTTAGCTATCTCCTCCTGTAGCGCCTGCTCCAGTCCAGCTAAATAGAGTTAGCTATCTCCTCTTGTAGTGCCTGCCCCAGTCCGGCTAACTAGAGTTAGCTATCTCCTCCTGTAGTGCCTGTACCAGTCCGACTAACTAGAGTTAGCTATCTCCTCCTGTAGCGCATGCCCCAGTCCGGCTAACTAGGGTTAGCTATCTCCTTCTGTAGCGCCTGTCCCAGTCCCAGTTGCCTTTGATGTCCCCCAACTTATCCCAGGACTGCTTTATTAGGTCAAGTTCAGAACATTCCTCCTTTCAAGGTATGATAAGCAGTTCCTGTTTGCTAAGTTGATGATACAACACATTATGTTTACATCGCAGGGCTGCTATGACAGGATCCACGACCTAGTCGAGGAGAACAAGGTGTATGTCGGTCTCGGGTTTGCCGGGGTGCTTCTCCTTATGGTGAGTGAAAGTGATAAAATGACTGATTATCACAATCTCAAGTTATGGCTACAATATTAAAACCTAGATGCAGCTAATAAAATAAACATAATTAAAAACCAATTATCATTTATTCATGACATATAATATACATTGCTGTATAAACAAATACACAAAATTATAAGTGTACTATCGCAAACTAAAATGCAATATTTTGTACTTGGGTTTACTACCCTTGAAACGAAGCATCCGGGATAACGAACCCAGTCAGAGCGGGTGGGCGTGCACTTAAGTGTAACGAAGGTTTCATTGGCTGGTTCATTTGCCGATACGCCCAGGGCTCTTTGTGAGTGTATACGCATCCCGGCTCAAGCCGAGTGAACCTATTCACTGCGCATGCGCTATGTGCGCAGCGCAGCAGAGCTTTTGAAACCAGTTTCGTCATCGACTGTCAGATTATAATTTTCGACTCTGTCGAAAGTTCTGAATTATTTGTTCTTTATTACGACAAATAATCCGTTATCGCAATTATAGATATTTTGCCTTCTGTTTCAGCTACTGGAAATTGTATTTGCAATCATTCTCATCAGAAAGGAAACCAAGGACTCGATGCTCGTGTAGGATAACAAGCTGATGATTCGGATAGTGTGCAGAAGAGCTCATTGTCACCAGTGCTGTGATATGCTGTATATACTTAGGTGTCAGCCTTCACTTGACTGTAGTGTATCTCACTGTCCTCTATAATGTTGACTTTAATGCTGGTTGGCTAGTTCACCATAATTGTTCCATTTGTACTTATCAGCGCTAAGGGCCGCTAGCAACATGATGTCATGAGAATTTATTGTTGTATAATATTGACGATGACGTCATCTATTTTTCACGACGTCACATGATTTTTTGGTCACATGTCATCGTACCCCAATTGCGTAGATCGATGCTCACGGCGTCGATTATAACTAGCTAGTAATGTGCGGCGTAAAACTAAACTCACTTACTCACTCACCGTTAATGTTTGCATCAAGACTGAGCGCTAAAGGTCCCTTCGCAAAATGATGTCAACTTATTGTTGCATATTACTATTATTGACGATGACGTCAACTATTTTTCACGACGTCACGTGATTGTTTTTGTAACGTCGCTTCAACATCATCTTTTCTGATCTGACGTTCTATTCTATTGTCAGGAAAGCCATATGTTTTTGTACATGTTCACAAAAAATTGTCTAGGTAATTCACCAATTAGCCTACATGACGTCCGTTCTCGAAGATAGTTTATCATTCATATAATATTTTGTCTTTCACAGCTTAATTTGACCAACCAGAATATGCATCAATACACGTATACATAATTCTTTATGCAAAATGGGAGCGTTGTACCACAAATAGCTGTGATTTCACTTATAGGCCTAACAGAGACAGAACACGAGTATTTCGTAATGCAATATTTATTTAAATATTTTTTTTATCACCTTCCGAAAAGGTGTTACATGAGCGTTTCGTCAGGTGTCCACACCAAATATTATGTATTTTGTCACAAGAAGATGGGATATGAAGATCTCTCAGTATGACCAGTGCATGACTGAGTGAATTTAGTTTGACGCCGCACTCATCAATACTCCGGCTATATGGCGGCGGTTTGTAAATAATGGAGTCTGGACCAGACAATCCAACGATCATGCTGTTGATCACTGGATTGTCTGGTCCAGACTCGATTATTTACAGACAGCTGCCATATAGCTGGAATATTGCTGAGTGTGGCGTAAAACTAAACTCACTCACTCACTCCATGGTAGTATGAATGTCAAGGAGCATCTCAATGCGTGTTCTAGATGACAAAATGTCTCTTTTAAATTCTGATTCTACTTTGAAAACATGATATCTTTTTTTCGTAATATGTTTTGAAGAGTCGTTTATGTCGTTATAACTATCTTCATGAATTTTCTGATCATCACTGTCATTCTCAAAGATATCTGATGAAGTGTTGTCTTTTCTGAAATATGCTTTCTTTAGACTATAACTATGTAGGTCAGGTATAAATTTATTATGCATATACACGCACACGAACACACGCACTTACATATGAAGATTAATGGAATTAAGTAAGAGTTCAATATCTGCTGTGCATTAGCAGGCCACACAAAATCAACTGTACGATCACTATCGGAAGGTTCAAGGAGTGACTGATGTTTATCAATATTTAACGTCACAAAAAATGCACATTGTTTCGATAAACCTAATGCCAAATCAGTGATTGTCTTGCTTTGCAATCATATGGCTTTTTATGGTGAAATAGCTAAAGTAGAATGCCGGATAAGCAAACACTGTGTCCCTAGAATTGCTACTTAACAGAGCCAGTTATAATTATAAAACATTCATGTAAGTATTTGATTTTCTTTTGAATTGGTATGCTGCGCTGATTAGAGAATCACAGAAAAAGACAGCGGTCGTGAATAGACTGCATATTTAAATCTTGTCAGAGACATTTCTTTAATGTCCAAATACGTCTCATATTTTCAGTTTATGTAGCTCTGTGAACAGCAAGATGACAACATGGCATTTAGTCATTCATGAGAACATGTTCCTTACTTTAATAATGTGCCTCACAAATGATGTGGCTATTTGTCAACTGCCAAATACGCCAACCTATAGGTCGTTAGTCTTCAAGAACATAGGCATCAAGTTATGTCAACTCAAATGTGCCGAGAATGGCTTCTGTCGATCTATTGAATACAGTATTTCGACACTCACTTGTCACCTATCAGAACTGGATCATGATACGATTACGATGAGGCACAGCACTTCGAAGGACTTGGCAGATGTAAGTTTGTGTGAGTGTGATAAACGTTGGGTTTCCTCATGTGGTCCTTTGGCTATCACGATTCCTACGTATTGAAACCATAAGCAGTATCGGGTGTGGACATTTTTCGAAATGATATGCCATATCCATGTAACGAAGAGGTTTTCACTCTTTCTAAAAACTCTAAAATAATATTAATGCATTGCGTCCCCTTCTGTCTTTCCTAACGTCAAGAACGAACGAACGCCGAGTGATTTGAAATGCTTGCCATGTTAGAATCAGATACCACCAAATCGGAAAACAATCTTTCCTTGTTGATCAAGTTATTGTTGTTTTATACGTACAAATACAGTGAAACGTCTGTTCCCTAAATCTGAAACAAATGTTGTTCAGTGGTGGGAGAGCGTTGCAGAAGGTGGACCTGGTAGATCATGATGTAAATGCCACTGCTTGTTGCTGCCAAAATCAGTCATACTGCTACAAACCTGTAGGTCGTATATCACAGATGACTTCTCTGTTGTTGAAAATGTATTCTTTCATGACCAAACTTATCGTGATGCTATCCAAATGGTTCCAGATTTAGTTGAAGTTTTGATTGTACTTTTGTGAGGCGATGTCATTTTATTGTCATTATTACACTTATTATAATCTATTTACCGAGTTCCAGCTCAACTATTCTCAACGGCACTTCGTATTATCAATCTTAACTCAGTGGTGAGCACACAACTTTTGCAGCCACTAGGCGCACATAGTTAATGTGGCTTTTCCATCCTCACAGCTGGGTAAACTGGGACACATAGTCACAGTACTTTGTCCAAGTGTACTGCACGTTGCTGTACCTGCAACAAGGTGTTTGCACGTATGCATGTGGCCACCATCTGGTCATCTACCAACGGATTCGTGGGTTCTTTTAAGTGCACAGGGTTGTGTACTGTACACTAGGGTTGCGACAATGCTGAAAGAGTCTGCACACAAAGTTAACTCCAAGGTTTTTACACCCGGTCACAGGTGGGCTCGATCCCGGCTCCTATAGCTCGCTCGATCACTAGCCTAGCTCCTCAGGTAGCTCGCCCACCATGTCCTCCATTTCAGTGTCAGATCATTGACTACAAAGGCAGCTAAATAGTTAGTCAATGTTGGGGATCATTATCCATATTCTGAAATCTGGTTCCCACAAAGTAAACTGTGCCCAAGACTTATCATTGCGGGCAAAGAAGCTTTTGATAAGTGTCTATTGTTCATACAGTTGGAACAAAGTTACCTAATATATTCCTTGGGCTCTATGATATCAAGATACAACCAGTGTTCTAGGGCTCTGAGCACTGGGAATCCTGTATGAATTGTCAGTGGTGAATATGGTAGATACCTATTATATAATAATTCTCAGATTAGATGTTTGGTTTTTATATGGTTATATATGTCAGTAAGTTGGGATGAAATGTGGACATGTTTCTTACAACAAATTAGTAATCGGTCTGTAAATATGTTCTACCAAAAAACATTCTATTTTAGAGGATATTTCACGATATGAATATTACAAAACTTTCAAGACCCGTTCCCAATCATGCCAAACAGTGAGTGAGAGTTTTAAGGAGCCAGTTTAATGCCTTTGGTGAAACATATGTTATATTTGGGATTACACTTTGTTAGTAAAGTACAAATTCTTGTACTTTTGTTTGGTTGAGTCCCATTCGGGATTCGAACCCACACCCTCAGAGTCAAGCACCTAATCGCCAGCACACAAAGTCAGCGGCCTAACCCGCTCAGCCACCGTTGTTTCCACATATGTTACGTATACATTTGACCACTTTCTAAATGGCATTGTGTATTTATAGCCTTTGGTGAAACTCACAACACTGGCATGTGTTGACAAACTTTGAAACATAATGGCGGCGAACCAAGGGTCGAACACATGATCATTCTTACCTGAGATATAAAAGTGGCAAAAGTGAATGCAAAGTGACCAGCGACGCCTTAAACGACAGGTCAGTTTCCAAAGCACTTTATATTTCGGATTCGCATGTGTGTTGGACACAGCAATTAATGCATTGCATGGCTGAAGGGGCTCCTCGTAATGTCTGATACCACGCCGCAGTGAAGCATGAATACCCCACTCAGACACATTATACTGACTCCGAGCCGACCAGTCCTTGTTGTACCCATTAATGCCGAGCGCCAGGCAGGGACCAACAAGTACCATATTTTAACGTCTTTTTGGTATGACGCAGTCGGGGATCGAACCCGCGACCTTCCGCTCTCTGGGAGGACACTCTAACCACTACACCACGGAGGCGGTCTCATTACACAGGAACCTCCTGTAGAACAATATAGATACATCACATATATGGGATCTCTCTTTTATTATATACGTGACTAATACCAAACTAGATAATGAAAGAAAAACGTGTTTTAAGTCTATTACAGGCTTTCTCAAGTAGATCTAAGAAATATTAATTGAACCACAAACGATGTATTTCTATTTTTTGGACCTTTTCGGACCTTTTTGGACCTTTTCGACAGTTGGGATATTGACATGAGCCCTTAATTCCACAAATGCTTTTGTTGAAACTTGCTACACTTGTACGCTGTTTCAAAGGTTGGTTGACTCTGTTGTTGGAACAATGTAGATAATGCTTTAAGGTATTTAGATTCTGCCTCAAATCTCTAGACCTGCGTAGAAATAGCACCAAAGCACAGACATTCTCCAGGTCAAGTTGTCCGTATGTGATATGCAATACAATCCTCAATTGTCATGTGACGATTTTATGACTTATGATTGGATTTGTTACATGGTTTCTATGCGACGAACGGCTGATATGACGTCAGTGTGTTCTGATTTAAAGTGACAGTAAACATCTACCGAGAGTACGATGGTACTTCTGAATGAAAGTAATAATAATAATAATATATGGAATAGGCCCATATACAGCCTCAGAAGAATTCCAGCTAACAAACCTGATCTTGTCCTTTTTGATAAAGCCAATGAATTTATTTATATCATTGAATTTTCTGTCCCTTTTGACACCAATGTGATTGGCAAGATTAAGGAAAAGCATGATAAATATGCGGACCTGGCCTTTGAAATGTCTCGCTGGCATCCCAAGTACACTGTCATCAGGCTCCCCATTGTTCTCGGTGCCCTTGGTTTGGTACCTCCTGATCTCTTGGCGCAGATCAGGAGAGTGCCCGGGTTCTCCACCGGGAGCACAGCCCTTCTGACACTCTGGGTAATGCAGAAGGCTGCAGTGTTGGGGAGCCTTCATATTCTCCGGAAAGTTCTTGGTGGGTTCGACTAGGCAGCGTTTCCTGGGAGAAGTCCCATTCGCTGTCTGGGCTGCGTGTAGAGGGGGCAAGGGCCCTGAGCTGATGATGAGCCTTACCAGCCTGACTGTACCAGGATCACCCGAACCCTCTCTGCTGCATGCAATTTTTAATCTGTAAAACATAATAATAATAATTGATTAGTCTTGACCGCCTGACCAGAAGGATCATGTCTGATAACAGAGCCCACCCCCCTCGTTCCTCTCTTAACCGTTTACATATGCCAATCAATTCTGGAGGTCGGGGTTTGATTAATGTGGA